TAGTCCCTTTGCCGTAGGTAGTTTTGCGTCATTTTTTATTAAAGAGTTCATCATTCATCTGTCAATTTCCCAATTGTTATGTTTTCCCTTTAGTATATTCTTCAGTGTCTCGTTGGCCTTCATTGTTGGACCCTTTCTTACTTTTTGATATGTATTACGGTCGCCTAGGCTACTTTTAATTTTTTCCGCGTACTATTACCTGTCTATTATCACAGTCTCACCTCATTTATCCGAAGAACTAGTTAGTCATTGATTTGTAATTTTATACGTATTTTCATCAATCCACTCCTTTTCATTGGTTCTTGATGGGGCAAATTCTTGTGATTAATTCCATTTCCATCTTCCGTATGGTCTCTTCTGGTAATTTCTCTTAGATGTTGATAACTGCTACAAGGATATCTTATTAAATGTTTTCTTCGTTACCTTTTAAAATATTTAACCCTTTCTTCAAGAGATCCACCCTTTCGGATTCAAGAAGATTGGGGGCAGGTTTGCTTCCTTATCCCTATCATCGGTTGTAGTAGTTGATGCTTTCAAAACAGAACCGGGTTGGTCTGATCCTGCGCTGTCTTATGACCCCATATCTAAGCAATTTCTTGTCATGCCGCTTATTTATCAAATCCTGGACCCTTTGTTACTTTTTATCAGTCATAATCTGAAGATTCTGAAAAAAAATCCACTGTGAGAACGTTGCCTAGATCCTTCCTTAATCCAGACATAATATCTATGAACATAAATAGATTACGCCTCTCAGTCCTGTAACTGTCCTCTAATTTCAGGATTGAGGTGTGAAAAAGTATTTTAATATTTGTATCCGAATCACACTTCCTCATTAGGTTACAGAACCCGGGAGCGCTTCCATAATGCTTGCAAAAATTCAAAAAGGTTAAATGGCAGGATTGGGTTGAAATTGCCCTTTTTGTCCGGCTTTAATCGGTCCATTGATTAGCAAACTTAGTTCCATAATCTAGACAAAGATTTAAAGACCATGATATTGTAGTATTTTGTACTGTCGCCTTCTCCTTTCGTTGTATAGAAGTTGTTTGACCTTGTTTTGCAACTTGGTTATATTAGCATGAAGGCCTAGAGGAACGCACCTTGTCGGGAGTCCAAAGTATTCATGATCATTTCCAGAGTCGGACCGTTGAATTGGTACATTCCCAGACGTTTCGCCGGTATCCTCAGTAAGTATCGTCATTCTTAGCACCACACAACAACTCTTCAAAATGACAAGTGAAGCCGATCCTTTGACCGAATGTGTGCCAAACCGTTGGGGGTATCTCACCCCTTCAATATCACCATTTATTACTTGTTTATCTAAACCTATATGAAATCTATTTACACTCCCCGCTGGTTTCCACATACCTCCTATTGTGCCGGGAGTGTTGATTCAAGGCTGCGGTATAATCAGCAATCCTCTCCCTTCAGGTCCTAGCAGAGTCCCCTCATACTCGGTAGGATGATCCTTCCTTTATCTGCCTGTTAATGTGATTTCACTCAGACGCTGCCACTCTATCCGTGCTACTCATGGCGTTGGTCTACACTCTCCCTCAACCCTTTGATAGAACGTATGAACCAGCCTTACCAAGCAAGTCCCTAAAGTCTGGGGTGCCATTTGTCATGGCAACCTAACTTGACGCTGTAGATTACCTTATCAATGTGCGGCATGTACACCAAGTAAATCTCGTGGTCAAGCCATTACTTCATGGACCACGTCTATGAGCAAACTTATCTAGTAATAGCCAACTAGAAATTGCCACCACCGTTTCTCTCGCTCTTCTATGGTCTTCTATTGTGTGCCAATCCTCAAATATGATGGTTCTATTTTATTTGAATAGGCTTCTTTAAAGACTTTATTACCCAGGGTAGACTTTAGTTTCGATATTTCCTAGGTTTAATCACCGCCCCTAACGGAATTAGTTACCGCATCGAGTTCGTCAAATGATATGCCTACCACTATACCATACATATTAGATTTCAATGGTTAGTGGTCATGTTTGTCTTGCAACCCAACTCTAGAATCTTATTTAGCTATGAACTTAGATAGATAAGGTCAACATTTGTTTGCGAAAAAAAGTTTGGTTTTAAGGAATTTCTTGTTTCATAATTGTTGAGCTTACTTTCATTTTGAGTGAAAGTTTTGGGTGAAGAGATTTGAATGTCGGTTCCACCAGAATACGACGGAGGATTCCTTTTGACCAGCTGTTGACTGGCTTTACTAAAACATTCATGTCAACGCTGTTTCCGAGGTAATTTCCTTCGATTCCGGAGAAACGGTGCTAAGCTTTCGTCCGTCATATGACGAACATCATCAGACTCGCTAGCTTGATTGTTGTTGTGACGATGATACCTTGCTCTGATCATGTTCGTCATATGACAGATGAAAGCTCAGAACCTTTTCACCGGAATCGAAGGAGATTGCCTTGGAAACAGCGTCAACATGAAGTTTCTAGTAAAGTTAATCGACAGCTGGTCAAGAGGCATCCGTCTTCTGGTGGAACCGACCTTCGAATCTCTTCACCCAACACTTTTACTCGAAATGGAAGTAAGCTCAAAAACTTTTTTTGCCCTTATAATTAAGGATGTTACTATGCATAGAATAAAGGAATTTTGGAAATTTAAATATATCATAACCAAAAACTTTGGAAATCTTAGGCCGCTTAAGCTGAGCTAAGACCGATATGAAATTTCCCACAATAAAATGGATACAGCATAGGTGTTGATGAGACGACACTTCTGAGTTCAGAATTTTGCTTGTATGTGTCTAAGCCACAGAAGGATAAGTTATGGGGTCCGAAAATGGAAATGTTTGATTATTTTGTGCAGAGCCAAGGCTGTTCGGATGATCATTGAGATTATGAGACACAGCTCACCTATCAAATTTCATTAACTGTTAGATCAATTATTGAAGATTCAGGAACTCGCTTGCGAAACTATTTAACCAGCTGTATTAGAATAACTGTCTAAGTTCTAAGGGCTACTCATATTGAAATTTAATAGAATTAAGTTTTGGCCATAACTAAGGCATAAACTTCATCCAATTTCATTTAATGTGTGCGGCATAGTGGTAGGCATATTGTTTGACGTGCTCGATGCAGTAACTAATTCCATTAGGAGCGCTGATTAAACCTAGGAATGGTAGAAAGTAACGTCTGCCCTCAGTAAAAGAGTCTTTAAGGAGGCCTATTCAAATCAAGTTGAACCATCAAATTTGGTGGTTGGCGAGAGAAACGGTGGTGGCCATTTCTAGTTAGTTAATAGTAGATAGGTTTGCTCTTAGACGTGGTCCATGAAGTAAGGGCTTGACCACGAGATTTACTCGGTGCCCATGCCGCACAGCGATAAGGGAATCTGCAGCGTTAATTTAGGTTGCTATGACAAATGAGAATCTAGACTTTAGGGGCTTGCGCAGTAAGGTTGGTGTATACGTGATATCAAAGGCTTGAGGCAGAGTGTAGAACAACGCCATGAGTAGCACGGATACAGTTGCAGTGGTGTGGTGAAATCACTGAAACAGGCAGATGAGGGAAGGATCATCCTATGGAGTAAGAAAGGTCTCTGATGGGACCCGAAGGGAGAGGATTGCGTACTAAACCGCAGTCTTGGATCATCGCTCCCAGAACAGCGGGTAGTGTGAATATATTTCAAATAGGTTTATATAAACAAGTAATAAATGGTGATATGAAGATCTAGGATAAGTGAATAGTCCAACACAGAAAGAGAGATATCACAAGTGTTTAGCACACATTCGGTTAAAGGATCGACTTCATTTTTCTCTTTGACAATTTCTAGTGTGGTGCTAAGAATGGTAAGACTCACTGACGATTCCGACTATGATGCCGGCGAAATGTCTGGCAATGTACCAAATCCACGGCCCGATTCTAGAAATTATCATGCATACTATGGACACCGGACAAGGTGTGTTCCTCTATGTACATGATTGTTCATCATAATTTGAAGTGA